CGGCGGCCGGTCACGTGGTAGGCGCCGCTCGCTCGCTGTCGCGCCCACGTCGGTCACGTGGTGCGGCGCCGCTCGCTCGCTGTCGCGCCACGTCGGTCACGTGGCAGACCTCAGGCGTGCCCGGCGCCAGTCGCAATCATGCGACTGTGGTACATGGTTCCGTTGCCTTACAGTCGCAATTTGTGTGATGGAAAAAAGCCCGGAAACACGTCGATGGAAGCGCATCCACAGCCTCGAACTATGCTTCTGTGCCTTGTGTTGCACACCGGGAAAAATACCGAATGGCTCACAAGTAGGAGAGTCATACAAAAAGTTGACTGTATAAAATGGGATACGCTGTATCGTTCACCATATGCACAGTTCCTAGTCTATAGAAAGTTTTTACACGTAGTCAGTTGACCTGTATGGTGGCATACCATCGTTGGCGTGTTATGCGTACGATTGACGCTGAACCCGTGGCGGGCTGCCGGCCATCCTCAGAATCGCCGCAGCCAAACTACAGCAACATCTGCACTGCCCTGACCTGCTGGCTTACCTGCTGACGATGCTGAAGCGGGACCAGATCCTGGCCAACTTCAAGCACCTGCAGCGGGGCCTGGCCGCGTGCATGGCCTCCCAAACCAGAAGGGTGCTGCTGGGCTACGCATCGCCGCCCAGTGTTTGGTTTTGGGTAACCTGCAACATGCTGCAAAGCACGCACGAACCCTTTCGTTGGGTTTGTGTTCGGGTATGTGAAAACTGAACGTCACTGGAAGCTACTGGCAGGTACAGGAAGCTACTGGAAGATCACTGGCAGAGTTCCATCCCAATGCTTGCCGCTTCTCGATGATAAGATAAGTTGCAACGCAACGTTGTTCCAATTGTGGTTAGCTGCAGGTTTGATGCTGTGATACTGACACAGTGCGACGTGTGGCGTAAACAAGAGAAGGGCGACATGGTACAAATATGAAGTGAACGTTCGTCGGCGTACACAGGTGGTGAGGGCCGTCCACCTGCTGCTGACCAAGCTGATGAACATGTTCCCGACGGAGCCCACCGGCTCCTCCGTGGCCTCAAAGTACGACGAGCTCGAGTCGCTGTACAACCACGTCAGCAAGGCGAGTGTGGAGGCGGCGGCGGGCGCGGGAGCTCGAGCCGGCGCGCTCGCCGCCGTCCGCTGCTGTCACTGGCCGCCGGCGCTGGGCGTACGGGCCGCCAAGTACGGCTTACGTGGCGTGACGCTGGTCTGATGTACTTTTCGGGCGGGTGTGGAAGGGGTCCTCTGGGGGCGCCGTTCTGGGCTGCTCACGTGAGTCACTTTTATGGCACGTGCTCTGATGTGATTCTCGCCAATGGCTCTTCGTGTTGGAGAACGCGTGACGCACCATTCCATCCAAAGCGAGGCCGCAGCGTATGGGGATCGGCTCGCCGTAGGCCGTCCGAGTCCCTCTGATCTGTGTAATAGCTGGTGCTGTGGACGGTGCCGTCGGCTGCCAGGGGTGCTGGCTGATCGTCAGTGGCTTGTTGCTTTCCAGTGCAGCTGAAGTGCGGTTTAATGGATGTTGGGCGTCTGGGCGTGTCGCCGGCAGGTTGTGTTCGAGGGTCTGGTGGCTTCGAGAAGAAACACGTCCGCCACGCCGTCCAGCTTGTACGGCACCCCTCATGGTGCTAAAGGCGGCCGGCCACAGCAACCCCTGCTACGTGGACCGGCTCATCAGCAGCTTTATGCGCGTGCGCAGCGCATGGCACGTGACCACTTGACGCCCGGCGGGCGAGTCCACCCCGGGTAGGTGGACAGTGCGGCGGCTGGGGGGGGGGGGGGGGGGGCGGGCCACGAGTCCGCACCGGGCAGGTGGACGGCGCGGCAGCTGGCAGCGCGGGGGGGGGGAGGAGGAGGGGGAGGGAGTCCGCGCCGGGTAGGCGAACAGTGCGGCGGCGCAGCTGTAGGCATGCCTTGTTTTGTGGGTGGGGTAATCCGTGGTAAGAGTGCGGCCCTTTGCGCAAACCTGCTCAAAGGGGCCTAGCGCCGCCTTTTGGCTGAAATGGACGACCATTACTCATGCGTACCGATCCTTGTGCAGGGCCTCCACTGTGGGCCGCCCAACGCTGCCGTACATTAGAATGTGTTAGGATAATCACCGAATTTGGGCTGTCAGAAACCGGTGTCAGGCTTTAGCATTTTGCCGCATTTGGGAACTTGGCCCAAATGATCTTCACTTGTCAAAAGTCTTACGGCATGTGTCCGAAACACTTGTAAAGTCCCCCGCCCCCCCCCCCCCCCCCCCGTCTCACGCTCAGCGACCGGACTAATTTGGCCGTCGAGTACAACACCGTTTACCTTCGTTGTGATGTGAGTTTGTGAAGGTTTATGAGGACGAAAAATCCGTTTGTTGCAAAAAATTAACTTATTACGCTTCCTTCGGGCGTGTGCCGGCACCAGAATGGGTGAAAACGGCACACTTCACAGCAATCCTCGTGTATGAGGCTGATCTGTTCGTTTTGTTTTTATTTTGGGTGTGTTTGTGATCGATAATATGCATGTAGTGGAATCATTCAGTTTTACTGCTTGTCCATGGCCAGTATCAAGACGTCACGGGGGGGAGGGGATGGGGAGCATGAGAAGTCATCCCCACCTAGTATTCGGATCTCAGCCTACCAAACGCAGCTCATGCGTCAGGTGCATGTGACACGCACCCGGCTCGCGAGGAGGCAGGGCTGTAGAGCAGAGTACACGAAATCAAGTAAAATCTACGGCGCGATGTCGGATATTGGGGCCATGGGCACAGTGACCTGTCCCGCGTGACGTGTCAACGACGTGTGTGGGACTGGCCGACGAGTCAGTCTCAGGCGTCGTGTCCGTCGGCGCAGAGTGGCCGTCGACCTCCTGATCCTGGCGCTGGACTGGTCAAGAAACCGTGTGGGCGTCATGGACTGGATATGCGCAAGTCCTTCATCGGCGCCATTCTGGTCAATCTGATCGACAAGACGTCCGAGGTCAAAGGTTCTGAAGGCCATCACAAAGGTAAAACCTCTCTTTTCAACAGTTCAACGACAAATGATTTACTCCTACAAGGCAACGCTATAAGGGATGAATGCTTAATTACATTGTTAAGCAGTCCTTAACTTAGGCTCACTGTGTATTGCCAGGTATAAGCTATGTTTTCTGCCCGTTAAGAGAGGAGAGTACGTGCAACGCTGGATCTCGCTGATCGGTACTTTCCGTCGATTGTCATTCAGACTGCGACAGGTCATAATCCGGCGCAGCGTATCTCCTTATGCGTCTTGGTGGCGCTTAACCCGGCGGCAGCAGCCGGTGTGGAAATGGCCGGGTGAAATGAGCGACTCTAACAGTCAGGGATGCTGATAAGTGAAGCAGTCTTCGGCCACAACAGGTTCGAGAAGCTCGGGCTCTGATCCCGTATGCTGCGCGCAGCATCCCATGTGGCCACGTTTCACGCAGAGTCAGCTTATAGGGTTTTCTTGGTGCATTCAGTGCATGCATCATTCATTCATAATGCGTTATCGCTGTTCTGTTCTGGTGACCATACTGGCAACGTCTACCCTGCGGTGTAGATGGTGGACGAGTGGGTGAAGAACAAGTCGCCGATCGCCATCAACCAGGGACCTTCACTGCGCGAGAAGTCGATCCTGCTGGGTTAAGCTGATGCACTGCATCGAGAAACGTTTCACCGATGACCCGGAGGTGCAGGCCCAGTTCTTGGAGCTGGTCAACTACATTTATCGGTAAGCGGCAGTGGGCCTGCTGGATACAGGGGATCAGGGATCCACGGAGGATGTGGGACGTACCGAAATACACGGAATCAGGGACGCACATGGGACCAGAGGCGTACAGGGTATCAGGGACCCACAGAGGATGCGGGACGTACCGAGATACACGGAATTAGGGACGCACAGAGGATCAAGGACGTACGGGGGATCAGGGACCCATAAAGGATGTAGGGACGTACCGAGATACACGGAATCAGGGACGCACTCGGGTCAGGGACGTACAGGGGTCAGGGACGTACGGGTAATCAGGGACGCACAGGGGATCAGGGACGTACAGGGGACCAGGGACCCACAGAAGATGTGAGACGTACCGAGATACACGGAATCAGGACGTACAGGGGATCAGGGACGTGCAGGGGATCATGGGCGTGCGGGGTATCAGGGCGTAGGGGACGCCCTGGCCAGTCCTCCGAGCCGCTGCACCCCGGCCCGTGGCCAACTGCAGAGGGGCTGTCGCCGCGGCCAGGGACCGCAGTCGGGGTGTTCCCGGGGGCGAGATAAACTGTTCGCCATCCGTGAGCCCGGCTACACCGTGCGCCGGCTGATGCACTGGGCTGCGCTTTGCGTCCTGTTTTACATTGCGATGCACGAACGCTGCATTATGATGTGTGTGTGGGCGGAGGGGAAGCGGGGGTGTTGTCTACTGGCTCAGTGTCACACGAGCAGCGTGGTGCTGCGTGCTCAGCGTTAGTTCTGCTGATCCGCCTGCTGCGCCAATGCCGGCGTGCAAGCCGCTTGCTCTGGCTATCGAACTCGGTCAGTCGCAGGACAAACTGATCTTAAGTAAGGGCGGACAGAGCAAGGCAGCGCGCGCAGGCCGTGTGACGCCACCCGCCGCGGTAGCTGACGGCCCCTCTTCTGCCGCAGAGACGACGCTCTGAAGAGCACCGAGCTGACGGTGAAGCTGGAGCCGGCGTTCCTGTCCGGTCTGCGCTGCGCCCAGCCCCAGATCCGGTCCAAGTTCTTCGAGGTGGGTCAGCCGACAACCGCGGTCGGGTGGGCGCAGGAGTGGTCGCGCTCGCTCGCACCGCGGGACAGATCAAGGCCCTTAGAAAACCGTCCATGCTGTGTTCGTTGTCAGGGATATTGACAAGTCGGATTGTTGGCGGTCTCAAACATAAACCATACCGCAGCATAACTGCGCCTTTAAATTTCTAAAACTGCATTAGCAACTCCAGTATTGATGGCGCTTCTAGTACCTTGAAAGGAACAGACCGGACAGCGTCTTTTCGTATGGCAATGGCCAGACGGGTCGTTACTCAGAGCTGGCTACAATTCGTTCTTACAGCTCCAAACTGACTGGCCGTCCCGACTGTGCTGTCTCCGACGGCCCGGCGTCCCTCGGTTTCCCCTACGCTGGCATGTCTTGATCGCCTGGTGTCGCCACAAACTCGTTGGTTCATGACGATTGGCTCCAGCCCTGACTGTCCCATCCCTGGCAGCCGGCGGCTGACGTCCCTGTCCCGTCCCTGAGGTCCAGTGTCGCCCAGCCCCTCTGCCTGACGATCATGGCGCCCTGTCCCTGGCTACCCCTAACGACCAGGGTGCCCCGTCCCTGACTGTCCCATCCCTGGCAGCCGGCGGCTGACGTCCCTGTCCCGTCCCTGAGGTCCAGTGTTCGCCCAGCCCCTCTGCCTGACGATCATGGCGCCCTGTCCCTGGCTACCCCTAACGACCAGGGTGCCCCGTCCCTGACTGTCCCATCCCTGGCAGCCGGCGGCTGACGTCCCTGTCCCGTCCCTGAGGTCCAGTGTCGCCCAGCCCCTCTGCCTGACGATCATGGCGCCCTGTCCCTAGCTACCCCTAACGACCAGGGTGCCCCGTTCCTGGCTGCCCCTGACAGCCAGGGTGCCCCGTCCCTGGCTGCCCCGTCCCTGGCTGCCCCGTCCCTGGCTGCCCCGTCCCTGGCTGCCCCTGACTGTCGGGCCGTCCCTGACGGGCCGGACGTGCGCGGCAGGTGTTCGACACGAGCATGAAGCGCCGCCTGCACGAGCGGCTGCTGTACGTGGTGTGCAGCCAGAACTGGGAGCACATCGGACACCACTACTGGATCAAGCAGTGCCTGGACCTGCTGCTCGTCACAGCTAACCGTGAGTGGCCGCTGCGGCCCGGCGCCAGCTGACGCAGGAAGAAACCTCAGCTGCATTTGCCGGTCCCTAGATAAGCTGGGCTATATTGTTTATTTACGGTCGCCTGTATTAAGGACTTGCCCATTGGCGGTTGTACTGAGCGTGCTGCAAGTCCTCACTTTGCAGTGTCCTCTAGATTTATCTCGTGGCAAAAATCGACGTGTCAAATAAACGTCTCGAGCGCGATGCGAATGGGCTCATATCGTAGTCACGGTTTAGCAGTTTGTTTCTTATGTTGCATGGTGTAGTAACTGCGAGGCGTTCCAAAGAATCCGTTGAAATTGGTACTGCTCGCTCCATCAGCACATTTCTGTTGATAAAGGTGTGGCTTGCCGTTTGGCGGATAGTTCGTACCAAGCAAGCATTTGTATTTGCTATGCTCTTAGCATCGTCATGTCTCGCAAAGTGAAGGCTTGTGGGTTTGTTGTTTCAGCCATTTTTTCGAGCAAATCGGGACGATTTCGAGATATTACACGTTTTCCTTTAGCGTACCTCATTAGTGATGGAATGAATCATGAGTAAAAGCCCAAGTAGGCCCGCTCCGTAAGCACCACCAGCCATAGCCACGACCACCAAATTGCCAACCGAATTATAATACACCACTTAAGGTATCAGAGATATCAATTTATTTTGGTGCACTTACTATGATTGCGGTTCTAAAAAGATTGGGTATTTGAACAGCAAATTTGATTTTCATGTCATTCTTCTCATGTACTTCCACGGGAGTGATAGAGAATAGCTGTAAAATTGCACAGGGGCTCAAGTCCCCAAAAGTGTGTAAAATTTCCCCTTTGTGCACTGTAAAATGCCCAGGCACCAACAAAACGTTGGGCTTGACAGGATTTGACGATATGTGGCAGCTGTACTTAATGAGTGCTACAAGGCTCATTAGTATTGGTGACGTCAACGTGTAGCTTCTTGACGGGCTGGGGACGTTGGGAGCGGCGAGCCGGGTCCGCGTGCCGCCACTCGGCGCGCGTGCCTGTGACGGCCGGTCCGGCCTCACCCGGCAGACTCGCCGATGCAGCTGTCCTCGGCCAGTCTGCAGCTGCCCAGTCTGTCGTCGGTGATACAGCTGGGCGACCCCGGCGAGCGGCAGGCCTTCCACCAGTACCGGGTGTCCCGCGCCGTCGAGCCGGCAGCAGACCTGGACAACACCGACAGCAGCAACGTACGTCACGTCAGGCTGCTGGCGCCGGTCCGGTCCGGTCGCAGAGGAGTCATCGGGCGCGCGGGCTCGAAGTCTGGTCCGGTCCGGCCGCAGGGGAGTCGGTGGGCGCGCGGGCTCGAAGTCTGGCCCGGTCCGGCCGCAGGGGAGTCGGTGGGCGCGCGGTCCCGGGGTCTGGTCCGGTCCGGCCGCAGGGGGGTCGGTGGGCGCGCGGTCCCGGGGTCTGGTCCGGTCCGGCCGCAGGGGAGTCGGTGGGCGCGCGGTCCCGGGGTCTGGTCCGGTCCGGCCGCAGGGGGGTCGGTGGGCGCGCGGTCCCGGGGCCTGGTCCGGTCCGGCCGCAGGGGAGTCGGTGGGCGCCCAGTGGTGCGGCGGTCACCGCAGTCGATGCTATGAACAGTGGCGTTGTGCAGTGTGCGTCATCCCACTCGTCACCTCGGTGGGTAGTTGTATTTACATTTGCACTCACGGCGCCACCACACATAACACTCGGCCTTTCTTAGGTCCGCCCGACCACCCGGGTCAGGCGTTGCGTGCTTTCACCCATCCGGTTACCTCCTAAGTATGGGGCGGCAACGAAACAAGCCTCCCAAAATAGCCAAACCAGTCAGCTGACAACACCAGTCAGCATGGCCCGCCCACCCAGTCATCCAGCCATCGGTTAACGTGACCAATAATGTATTAGATGATTGGAAATTGCTCCTGGAAATGTGTATTCCTCTGCAGCATTTGACGTAACATGATCTTGGATGACCTGATTACATGTTACTTTTAGAACCGCATGAAGCACAGTAAGATACAGCAAATCATTATGAGAACGTCCTTAACATTGCGTATTCTGGGGAAAAAGTAAGGTATCGGATACCCGCCTCGTGATGTGGCCGACGTGACGCCCACAAAATGGCAGTCACTCGGCAACTATCGAAGGTGCGATCACGTGACGCCCACAAAATGGCAGTCACTCGGCAACTATCGAAGGTGCGATCACGTGACGCCCACAAAATGGCAGTCACTCGGCAACTATTGAGGGTGCGATCACGTGACGCCCACAAAATGCCAGCCACTCGGCAACTATCGAGGGTTCGATCACGTGACGCCCACAAAATGCCAGTCACTCGGCAACTATCGAGGGTACGATCACGTGACACGCGCAAAATGGCCGTCACTCGGGAACTATCGAGGGTGCGACCTTTTAGTTTTCACCAATGTATAAAATGTCTAGGGTGCACGAGTACCGTAAATTCCAGCGTCGAGCGCTCATTCACTTGAGAGATGTTCCTGGAGACGTAATGGGTGTATGGCATTGGGGCCTGACGACGCGCTTGGTTGTCGAGGCTTTATTGTGGGGCTTCCTCTCACCCTGGCATGAAGAGCGGGCACCGCGGGGAATCGAACCCCGTACCTCTGGTCTCCCATACGTGCAGCCTTAGCTACTGAACTATCGGCACCCAATATCCTGAGCGGCGATATTGGTCGCGAAGTTTCTCTTCGCCTGACACTTTGGGTGGGACGCTTCCAGCAGTGTTTATTTGAGGAGCAGAACGACGTAGCTGATTGTCATACTGGCCACGGGGGGCGTATGTGTCGTTTCAGGACGAGCTGGAGCTGGGCGAGCAGGGGGAGACGGCTCGGCCCAGCGCCCCGCCCGCCGTGCCGCTGCAGGTGCTCGTCGCCAGGCAGGTCAGAGCACAACTGGCGCCCGCTGACGCTGACACGTATGCTCACACGCGCGCGCAGGCATGCGCATCCATGCAAACAGACAGACGAATATGCACCAGTGAGATTACCGCTGTGCTCCCAGGACACTGCATGCCTTTGTCTGCGAGGACGCGGTTGAACGCGTTTGCTAGTTCGCATACTGTAGAAACGTCATGGGGTGGTCATTTCACCATGGCCTTCAGCTCGCCTGCTTCGCTCTAGCGTCTTCGAATCTGCGGAACCCCTTGGCGTTCGCCGCCGTACGGTTTGGACGTCGCGGCAGCTGGGTGCGCCAGTGCCGCAGTGCGGCGTGTTCGTCTGACATGCGTCTTTCTCGCGCTGTCACAGGCCAAGTTCCTGGAGGGCGGCAAGGAGGTGCGCACGCCCCACTTCCTGGCGGCGCTGACGCAGCTCTGCCACAGCGACCAGCCGCTGGCCGAGCGGCTCTGGCTCGACTTCTTCCCGCGCGTCTGGAAAACACTCAGCGAGCGGCAGCAGCAGGTGCGTACGGTCTCTGAGGCGCTCTGTGTATGGTAGCGGTGAAGCGTGACTGTGCTCCGTCCCCCTCCCCTCTCGTCTCCCCGATCGACCTCAATAACGGGACGTGTCAGCTGGCGCTGGTACGCGCCTGTGGCAGCGGCTGTCTTTAGCAGCATCCGTGCTGTCGGCTCATCACAGCTGAGGACTGATAATGTGTGAGCTGATGGACTCGATATGGGATCGGCCGCTGGGTGGCGCCTCCATCCCTGATGATGTGTGAGCTGATGGACTCGATATGGGATCGGCCGTCGGGCGGCGCCTCCACCCCTGATGATGTGTGAGCTGATGGACTCGATATGGGATCGGCCGCCGGGCGGCGCCTCCATCCCTGATGATGTGTGAGCTGATGGACTCGATATGGGATCGGTCGCCGGGCGGCGCCTCCATCCCTGAGATTTGGACCAGACTGCTACACGGGTTGTCCTGTGCAGCGAAGTAAGTATAGCATGGAAATTCGAGGTCGATCAGAGCTTATGAGGTTACTCTCTCAGCCCAGCCTAATCACACTGTCATACCAGACCATGCTCATCACGACGTATGCGGGGGAATCCCACCGGCTTCACGCCTGTGCCAGCTAACGCAGCACCATTGTCGGAATCGGCCAGTTGATGATGTATGCGTGTTTCAGTCGCTGGTCGGCTGAACTGGTGCCGTTCCTGGTGTCGGGGGCGCACAACATCCAGAAGGACTGCTCGCCGTCGGCGCTCAACACGTTTGTGGAGGCGCTGGTGCACTGCCAGCCGTCGGTCACCCTGAAGCCGTGAGTGAGCTGGTGTCGGTGCGCTGCCGTGTCCGCCGTGGCCGGACGGGAAACTGCGCGTGCGCCAGACCCAGTGTACGGTCCGCTGCTGCCCTGCTTGTCGGATGTTGGGGGTTGAGGTTGAGGCTTAGGTGATTGGGGTTGAGGTTGAGGTTGAGGTTGAGTTGAGGTTTGAGGTTGAGGTTGGGGTCGTATTGTGGCTGTGTGACGTACTGCGTCTCTTAATGTTGCCATGGGACCAGTTTAGGCCATGTTTTTCCAGGAGCACTATTGCATACTTGGTAGCAGCGACCCAAGTGTAATGACGCACTGTGCCGGTATTGTCATCGGTCTGTTTGCCATGCGCAGTTACTTCCTCATTGGTTCGTCATTTGAAAGCCAGCTGGTGTCGCGGTTGTAGCTGGATCTTGTTTGGCTCCCGGGTAACAGCATGCTTGATGTTATGTGGCTGTAGTCTTCGCCGCTTGGACCTGAAATAGCTGACTGCCGACAGCAGGGCAGTGTGACCAGTGACGGAAGGGCGGCGTGTGTTTGCGCCGGTCCCGCCCGACTGTCCGCCACCCCAGCTGATTCCCCGCGCGCTGGCACAGCTCAGCTGATGCCCGAGCCTTGCCTCTCCGGCCGCCCGGCCGCCGGCCAGACTGCTCTGTCCGCGTGGCGGCGCGCAGGAGCTGGCGCCGCACCGCCCAACCGACTCTCGCCGCGCGCTCCAGGTGCATCATGCGCTACTTGGGCAAGAGCCACAACTTGTGGTACCGGATGACGGCTGTCGCTGGAGCAGATGGCGCTGGACAGCAGCTCCCTTCAGCTCATCCGGCCCCAAGAAAGAGGCGGCCGACATGTACGACTTCGAGCCGGCCACCAACACCAAGGAGGTGCGCCGACCTAGGCTGCCCCAGCTCGGTGCTAATGACGCTGCTGGGTAGTGTATACTGTACACGTAGTCCTGTTTTAGTGTGTGTTGACGTGAGGTGGACAGGAAAGAACCATTGACTGAAAACATCGACCTCTGTGTCGGCAGGTGAAAGTAAGTCCTTTCTATTACAATGTGAACAGTGCAATTGCGTGCGATGTGCTATCTATGCTGTCGTCTATAGATAGTAACATTGCAAGAATGTCTCTCATAGGCCTGCTTGCTGGTCGGCAGAATGGTTTTCGTTTCTTCCGGACCCAAAGCATGCTCAGTTCAGTCATTGATGAGAGGGGAATCACGGGCTTAGGATTTTAAACATTCCTTGCCCGTGGATTCAAAACCAGGTACCCACAGATGTGTTGATTGTAAGGCACAGCAATTGTGTGTATCCTCTAGGAAATACTTCATGAACCTGTAGAGGCCGTTGGACTTCCCCCTCCCCCCCCCCCCCCCCCCAGGTCTCTTCCAGGATAGTGGGTCGTCGTGAAGGCGTCGCCTGGCACCCTGTCTCTCCTCCAGAAGAGTCGGGGTCCTGGAGTCGGGCTGTCTGGCGTCATTTGTGACATGGACATCAGTGCGCCTGCTCAGGGCTAGTCAAGGGATCGTCTGACCCTCTCTCGCGTCCGCTCCAGGAGAGTCTGGAGATGGGACTGACTACCCGGCGGTCTGCTCCAGGAGAGTCTGGAGATCCTGGAAAGCCTCTGCGAGCTGTACAAGCTCTTGCGTGAGGAGGACCTCTGGATCGGCCTGTGGCAGAAGATTGCCAAGTACTCGCAGACCAACATCGCGCTGGCGTACGAGCAGCAGGGCTTCTTCGAGCAGGCGCAGGGCGCTTACGAGCTTAACCACGAACAAGATCCGGGCCGACTACGCCACGTCCCCCGGCTCCGGTCAGCCTGCAGCAGGTGAGCGGCGGGCACGGCCGGCCGCTGGTCGGCCGCTGGTGGACGTGTCGCGGTCGGGCGGCCTGGTCGGCCGCTGGTCGACGCGTCGCGGTCGGGCGGCGTGGTCGGCCGCTGGTCGACGCGTCGCGGTCGGGCAGGCGCGGCCGGCCGCTGGTGGACGTGTCGCGGTCCGGCGGCGCGGCCGGCCGCTGGTCGGCTGCTGGTGGACGTTGTTCGCGGTCCGGCGGCGCGGCCGGCCGCTGGTCGGACTGCTGGTGGACGTGTCGCGGTCGGGCGGCGCGGTCCGGCCGCTGGTCGGCCGCTGATGCCGTGGTGTGCCGGCTGGCCTCTAGTTCGACCCACAAGTGGCACGGTTGTCTCGGCTGTCTCGTGCTCGGATGTTGGGTGGCGTCCTTCGACCGGTGGTCCTTTTGACCGTCGCGTTCGGTTCCACGTTACTGGCCGTGGGCTGAGCGCCGCCAAGTCGGCTGACAGCGGGCCGGATGGGCGCACTGCCACAGGAGATGATGCTGGTGGAGCAGCAGTGGATCCGCTGCTGCAAGGAGCTGAACCAGTGGGAACCTGCTGCTCGAGTACGGCCGCTCGGCAGCGGCTGCCAGTCCGGCGCTCGTGCTCGACTCGGCCTGGCGCGTTGCCCAACTGGGGGGTTCATGAAGGACGCCCTCCAGCAAGTGGAGGTCAACTGCCCCAAGGAGATGGGCTGGAAGGTGAGCAGGGCGCGCGACCCCCCGACGCCGCGACGGTCGCGGCAGCAGGACGGACTCAGAGCTAGTTTGGAAGCCGGGGAGGGGGCGAGGTCAGAGTGTCGGCGAGCCGGGGGGGCGGGGAGGAGCGAGGTGAGAGTGTCGGCGAGCCGGGGGGCGGGGGAGGGGGCGAGGCCAGAGTGTCGGCGAGCGGGGGGCGGAGATGGAAGGGGCGAGGCCAGAGTGTCGGCGAGCCGGGGGCGGGGGAGGGGGCGAGGCAGAGTGTCGGCGAGACTGGGGGCGGGGTAGGAGCGAGGTGAGAGTGTCGGCGAGCCGGGGGGCGGGGGAGGAGCGAGGTATGGAGTGTCGGCGAGCCGGGGGGGCGGGGGAGAGCGGAGGTGAGAGTAGTCGGCGAGCCGGGAGTCCGCAGCCGCCCGGTGTACGAGCCGTTGTCAACTGGTGATGGCTGGCGTCAGCACAAGTTGATGACCAACATGACACAAAGTCGCACCGATGAAAGGGTGCCAGAAGTACTGCCATGATGCCGCCATTGTTGGTGAGATTTCCCCTGACCGTAACCGGGGTTGAGGCTCGGTTAGGGCTCCAGGTGTCTGTCGCCACGTGTCACGTGCGAGTCGGACGCCGGCGAGGACGACGCCGGCCTCGGACGCGAGTCGAGTCGGACGCCGGGCCCCGTGCCGGGGTAGCGCACTGACGACTGGCGGGCGCGGCGGCAGGTGAACCTGTACCGCGGCTTACATCGCCATCTGCCACCTCCGGAGGAGGACGCACCTCTCTAACGTCGAGAAGAAGCTGGTCGACCTGGCCACAAACCAGTGCATGAAGGAGTGGCGCAAGCTGCCCTCCATCGTTGTCGCACGTGCACGTGGCCTCTACCTGCAGGCGGCGCAGCAGGTGAGAGAGCCGCGACGGGTCGGTGGGGGACGACCTGACCCGATCCTGACCTGGCCCGATCCGGCCCGACCCAACCACGACCCGACCCAAACTGACCCCGACGGCGGCCCGACCTGACCGGACCTGACCTGACGCGGCCCTACCCGACCTGGACCCGGTCCCGCCACATTGCACGCCGCCCATCATGTGAGGGCGAGTGTGGGGCTTAGTGTGTCTGTAAGAGTGTTATATGCGCTGGCTGTCGTGCTGGCTGTTGCGGAGGCAGCTGCGGCATAGAACAGCAAGGGGTTGTGCCGGGATGGATGGTGCGTGTCTTGGAGAGCTGCGTGGGCCCCGGCTGACGCCGACCCCGACCCGGCAGATCCTGGAGCTGCAGGAGGCGGCGCAGATCCACCAGAACCTGCTGCACAGCCGGCAAAACGCCGTTGCACGACATGAAGGCTATCGTGAAAAACGTGGCGGCAATCGCCTGCCGGTCATCAGCGACGACCTGAGCCACTGGAGCGATGTGTTCACCTGGCGCCAGCACCACTACCAGTTCATCGTCAAACACTACAGCGAGGCAGGACCAGGGCGCCAACAACCAGAGCATGCTGGGCGTGCACGCCTCGGCCCAGGTGGGCGCGCAGCGTGGCGCGGCGGCCGCCGGCGCGGACCGGCCGGGCGCCGGCAGCTGGGCGAGGCGTCAGGTGGCCGTCCGGCGGGCTCGGCTGGGGGAACTGCTGTGCTGGGCGCCCGTATGGTTGTGTGGTGATGACTGGTCAGCCAGCTGGCCAGCCGCCTGTGGGTTGCGGTTATTGGCGAGCTGCTGCCTTACCGGTCTGCGTGTGCTGCTCTGCTGTTCCGACTTTGGTTAGCCGCCGTGCTGTCTGTGTGGGTGTGCTGGTCCAGAGGCGGTCTCCCGCGGTCGGTCGGCCCTGCTCCTGCCAGCTGTGTCTGTGTGGGTTGGCTGGTCCGGAGGCGTCTCCCGCGTTCGGTCGATCCCGCTCCAGCCAGCTGTGCCTGTATGAGTGTGCTGGTCCAGAGGCGGCTCCCGCGGTCGGTCGCCCCCCCCCCCCCCCAGCCAGCTGACCTGCCACCCTCTGTACCAGGCCATCATCCACTACGGCAAGATGGGCAGAAAGCACGGCCTGATGGGCGTGTGCCTGGAGAACCTGAACCGGCTGCACACGATCCCGTCGGTGCCGATCGTCGACTGCTTCCAGAAGATCCGCCAGCAGGTCAAGTGCTACCACCAGAGCGCCGCCGGACAGGGCATGAGCAAGACCGAGCTACAGGAGGTGAGGGATGCCCCCCCCCCCCCCCCCGCCGGACAGGGCATGAGCAAGACCGAGCTACAGGAGGTGAGGGACGCCCCCCTCCCCCGCCGCCGGACAGGGCATGAGCAAGACCGAGCTGCAGGATGTGAAGGACGCCCCCCCCCCCCCCCCCGCCACCACCGGCTGCGCTGCTTTAGCGTTTTTCCGCCCGTCTATTGTTTTGCAGATGTAGTGGTGACCTCAGCGATTGGAATGCAGATGTGTACGTTGTCTGCCTGTGAGTGAGCAGTGTGCTGGTTGCTGTACGCGAGGCCCGGGAGGATAAGGGGCTCGCTGACCTAGTGGTCAGGAACTTGTGCTCCCGGACAGAGCGCCGTGGCCCGCTGCTTGTGTCCTGGTCCCTGGGCGCTGACACCACCAGCGAAGTAACCGAGAGAGGGCTTCCGACGCGCGCCCATACCAAAGCCGGCATCATTGGTGTGTGCCACCCTCAGGGCCTGGAGGTGATCGAACACACCAACATGAAGTACTTCACCAAGGAGATGGTCTCCGAGTTCTACGCTCTGAAGGGCATGTTCCTGTCACTCGTTGGTAAGCCCGTCGAATCCTAGGTCAACAGTTTAGCCGATATCCATTTGTCTCCTACGCACGTGTTTTGGCAACAGTGATATCGCTGCCGTCCGCTCCAATGTGTGACGGCTGGGACTGCTGCCGGTCACTGCGAGATGCAAACCCTCTGTGAAATGCGGGCGTTCTGCGCGATCCATGCCGACCCACTGTTTCGTCATTCAGTCATTACTAGCTCACAGCTCCACTGTTCCGTCATTCAGTCATTACTAGCTCACAGCTCCACTGCTTCGTTATTCAGTCATTACTAGCGCACAGCTCCACTGTTCCGTCATTCAGTCATTACTAGCTCACAGCTCCACTGCTTCGTCATTCACTCATTACTAGCGCACAGCTCCACTGTTCCGTCATTCAGTCATTACTAGCTCACAGCTCCACTGTTCCGTCATTCAGTCATTACTAGCTTACAGCTCCACTGCTTCGTCATTCAGTCATTACTAGCTCACAGCTCCACTGTTCCGTCATTCAGTCATTACTAGCTCACAGCTCCACGGTTCCGTCATTCAGACGTTACTAGCTCACAGCTCTACTTTTCTGTCACGACTGAATTTCGACGCTCTGATCCACGGACCCGCCGACCCGTATCTGTCCGTCTGCCTGTGTGTCTGTGTGTAGCGGCTACCGCTGACCTCCTCGCGGCCCGCTGACCTCCGCGCGGCCCCGCTGACCTCCGCGCGGCCCCGCTGACCTCCGCGCGGCCCCGCTGTCCGCCGCGCGGCCCGCTGACCTCCGCGCGCGCGTCCGGTCGGCAGGTCGCTCGGACGACGCCAACAAGGCGTTCTCGGCGGCCGTCCAGATGGACGACACGCTTTTCAAGGCCTGGGCGCTGTGGGGCGAGTTCATGGAGTCGTCGTTCTTCCGGGACCCGAGCAACCTGCAGACAGGTGTATCGGCCATCACCTGCTTCCTGCACGCCTGTCGACACCAGAAGGAGAACAAAAGCCGCAAGTACCTATCCAAGGTCGGTACCCAGTCGCTCTCCGGAGGACCTCCTCTGCCCCGATACGGGCGGGGCTTGGCGCTCCGGAGGACTTCCTCTGCCCCGGTACGGGCTGGGCTTGGCGCTTTGGAGGACCTCCTCTGCCCCGGTACGGGCGGGGCCTGGCGCTTTGGAGGACCTCCTCTGCCCCGATACGGGCGGGGCTTGGCGCTCTGGAGGACCTCCTCTGCCCCGGTACGGGCTGGGCTTGGCGCTTTGGAGGACCTCCTCTGCCCGGTACGGGCGGTGCCTGGTGCTCTGGAGGACCTCCTCTGCCCGGTACGGGCGGTGCCTGGCGCTCTGGAGGACCTCCTCTGCCCGGTACGGGCGGTGCCTGGTGCTCTGGAGGACCTCCTCTGCCCCGGTACGGGCGGGGCCTGGTGCTCTGGAGGACCTCCTCTGCCCGGTACGGGCGGTGCCTGGTGCTGGAGGACCTCCTCTGCCCCGGTACGGGCGGTGCCTGGTGCTCTGGAGGACCTCCTCTGCCCCGGTACGGGCGGTGCCTGGTGCTCTGGAGGACCTCCTCTGCCCGGTACGGGCGGGCCTGGTGCTCTGGAGGACCTCCTCTGCCCCGGTACGGGCGGTGCCTGGTGCTCTGGAGGACCTCCTCTGCCCGGTACGGGCGGTGCCTGGTGCTCTGGAGGACCTCCTCTGCCCCGGTACGGGCGGTGCCTGGTGCTCTGGAGGACCTCCTCTGCCCGGTACGGGCGGTGCCTGGTGCCTGGAGGACCTCCTCTGCCCCGGTACGGGCGGTGCCTGGTGCTCTGGAGGACCTCCTCTGCCCGGTACGGGCGGTGCCTGGTGCTCTGGAGGACCTCCTCTGCCCCGGTACAGGCGGGGCCTGGTGCTCTGGAGGACCTCCTCTGCCCCGGTACAGGCGGTGCCTGGTGCTCTGGAGGACCTCCTCTGCCCCGGTACGGGCGGTGCCTGGTGCTCTGGAGGACCTCCTCTGCCCGGTACGGGCGGTGCCTGGTGCTCTGGAGGACCTCCTCTGCCCCGGTACGGGCGGCCTGGTGCTCTGGAGGACCTCCTCTGCCCCGGTACGGGCGGTGCCTGGTGCTCTGGAGGACCTCCTCTGCCCGGTACAGGCGGGACCGGTGCTCTGGAGGACCTCCTCTGCCCGGTACGGGCGGTGCCTGGTGCTCTGGAGGACCTCCTCTGCCCCGGTACGGGCGGTGCCTGGTGCTCTGGAGGACCTCCTCTGCCCCGGTACGGGCGGTGCCTGGTGCTCTGGAGGACCTCCTCTGCCCCGGTACGGGCGGTGCCTGGTGCTCTGGAGGACCTCCTCTGCCCCGGTACGGGCGGTGCCTGGTGCTCTGGAGGACCTCCTCTGCCCGGTACGGGCGGGACCCGGTGCTCTGGAGGACCTCCTCTGCCCGGTACAGGCGGGACCCGGTGCTCTGGAGGACCTCCTCTGCCCCGGTACAGGCGGGACCCGGTGCTCTGGAGGACCTCCTCTGCCCGGTACAGGCGGGACCCGGTGCTCTGGAGGACCTCCTCTGCCCGGTACGGGCGGGGCCCGGTGCTCTGGAGGACCTCCTCTGCCCGGTACGGGCGGTGCCTGGTGCTCTGGAGGACCTCCTCTGCCCGGTACGGGCGGGACCGGTGCTCTGGAGGACCTCCTCTGCCCGGTACGGGCAGACCCGGTGCTCTGGAGGACCTCCTCTGCCCGGTACAGGCGGACCCTGCTCTGGAGGACCTCCTCTGCCCGGTACGGGCGGGGCCCGGTGCTCTGGAGGACCTCCTCTGCCCCGGTACGGCGGTGCCTGGTGCTCTGGAGGACCTCCTCTGCCCGGTACGGGCGGTGCCTGGTGCTCTGGAGGACCTCCTCTGCCCGGTACGGGCGGTGCCTGGTGCCTGGAGGACCTCCTCTGCCCGGTACGGGCGGGACCTGGTGCTCTGGAGGACCTCCTCTGCCCGGTACGGGCGGTGCCTGGTGCTCTGGAGGACCTCCTCTGCCCGGTACGGGCGGGACCTGGTGCTCTGGAGGACCTCCTCTGCCCGGTACGGGCGGTGCCTGGTGCTCTGGAGGACCTCCTCTGCCCGGTACGGGCGGGGCCTGGTGCTCTGGAGGACCTCCTCTGCCCCGGTACAGGCGGGACCCGGTGCTCTGGAGGACCTCCTCTGCCCCGGTACGGCGGTGCCTGGTGCTCTGGAGGACCTCCTCTGCCCGGTACGGGCGGTGCCTGGTGCTCTGGAGGACCTCCTCTGCCCCGGTACGGGGGGGCCTGGTGCTCTGGAGGACCTCCTCTGCCCCGTACAGGGGGCGGGACCCTGCTCTGGAGGACCTCCTCTGCCCCTGGGTACAGGCGGTGACCCTGCTCTGGACCTCCTCTGCCCGGTACGGGCGGGACCCTTGCTCTGGAGACCTCCTCTGCCCCGGTACGGGCGGGGCCTGCTCTGGAGGACCTCCTCTGCCCCGGTACAGGCGGGACCCGGTGCTCTGGAGGACCTCCTCTGCCCCTACGGGCGGGGCCTGGTGCTCTGGAGGACCTCCTCTGCCCCGGTACGCGGGGCCTGGTGCTCTGGAGACCTCCTCTGCCCCGGTACGGGCGGGACCCGGTGCTCTGGAGGACCTCTCTGCCCCGGTACGGGCGGGCCTGGTGCTCTGGAGGACCTCCTCTGCCCCGGTACGGGCGGGGCCTGGTGCTCTGGAGGACCTCCTCTGCCCCGGTACAGGCGGGGCCTGGTGCTCTGGAGGACCTCCTCTGCCCCGGTACAGGCGGGACCCGGTGCTCTGGAGGACTCCTCTGCCCCGTACAGGCGGGACCCGGTGCTCTGGAGGACCTCCTCTGCCCCGGTACAGGCGGGACCCGGTGCTCTGGAGGACCTCCTCTGCCCCGGTACAGGCGGGACCCGGTGCTCTGGAGGACCCTCTGCCCCGTACAGCGGGACCCGGTGCTCTGCTCTGCCGTGATACCGCTCAAGCACTGCTTCCCACCGCGGCGGCGAGACATCTGACTCTGACGCGCCGGCCTAGTCACCATACCTGTCTGATGCCGCCACCGGCACACCGCTTCAGGTGCTGTGGCTGCTGACGTACAACGACGAGGCCAACACGCTGGCGGAGGCGGTGGAGCACTATTGTGCCAGCGTGCCGCCCATCCATTGGCTGCCGTGGATCCCCCAGCTGCTCACCTGTCTGGTGCGCAACGAGGGCAAGCCCATCATGAACCTGCTCACCCAGTGTGAGCACACGGACCGGGTCTCACCCAGTGAGCATGCAGGCCGAACACGGGGCCGCGTGATGCTAACCAGTGCATGCGGACGCGCCCACAGGAAGCTCACGGTGTATGTATGGCTTGTTCGGTGGGCAGCGGGGCAGCGACTACTGGGAGCGGCCTCGCAAGCCGCTCTGTACCTCTGGGTGTGCCCGTTGGCGCTGCAGGGTCGTCCGGCGCCGGCCGTTCGTGCGGTGCTCTGCGGGCCGGAGACCGCTCAGCTGTCCGCCCGGCCCACTCTGACTCTGACTGACTCCGTCGACCGCTCTGACTGACTGGACCCTGTTGGACTCTGACTGACCGGCTGACTGTCGGCCGCCTGTGACGCGGCCTCTGCTCTGGGCAGGTGGGCCGCACGTTCCCGCAGGCGGTGTACTTCCCGATCCGCACGCTTTACCTCACGCTCAAGATAGAGCCGGGAGCGGCACAAGACGAGCGGGCAGAGCGGCGGCGCGGCGGCGGCGCGTGACAGCTCCGACCCGGCCGGCTCCTCAGGTGCGTCCGGCCACGCGGCGCCGATCCGGTAGACCAGGGCTGCGAGATTCCCGGTTGACCACGCCGACTCACCCGTTTCTCAGACGCGCTGCGCAACATGCGCTCGGATGGCCGGTTGGAAATGTGATTCGCTCGACGGCTCAATTTGACCCCCCCCCCCCCGCTCCTCTCCTGAAGATCGAAAATTAAGACCTAGGAACACCCATTCACTAAGTGGAAAAGGATCTGTGGGAACTTAATGGTATCAAATTTGTAGACTCTACCTTTACCTTTTTTGCCTTTAGCATGTACTTTTTATCATTACCATTGGGTCAATGAGATGAAAGTCGAGTTCGGTGCGCGAAGTGCCCTGAGAACTCCTCGAAGTGCCCTAAGACCTCCTCGTGCAGCCAGCCTTTACCTGAATACATTTTGTAAGCAAGAGGTCACTTGGGTATGACATCAGATCAGGGATTTTATGTGCCCCTAAAAGTTCAAGATGAACAAAAAACTTTGCGTTATCTTTATATTTGAGTTCAAGATGAACGTCGCGAACTACTCTATGCAGCATGTTGCGCAAGACAAAAGGTGGATCACGGCTGTTTTTGATCAGTGACCTGACCTGAACATTAAGTTAAGATAAGACTACTGGTGACGTCCTTTAAGTCAAGAAATTCGAAGTGAGCGTCAAAACTACCTCAGCAAACAAGTATTCTGGGAAGAAGGCTGTTTGGTTTTGATACCTTCATACCTGACCCACCTTTAAAATATTAAGTTGTTATCCTAATTTCAATTGTCTTATTGTCTAGCAAATGATGTGTAAGCTGCATGACTTCGTCTAACACTCCGTTGTCGCGTCATAGAATGCATTGCCATAAAGAACATCGGCAAGCGGTTCAGCCCTCATTCTGTACCAGCCAAAGGAGCGCGTATGCGTCGGAGCGCCGTGCGTCATGTACCAGCGGCTGGGGCGGGCTCGGCGTGTGTGGCGCGCGCGGCTGACATGGCGCGCGGCCGCCAGGTGACGCCAGCGGCGGCGGCGCGGCGGCGGCGCGGCGGGCCGACACCGACGGCCGCTGACGCCGGCTCCATCCGCGCCACGGCCCCATGTGGCGCTGCAGCCGCATCATGCACAACCAGCGCGACGTGCACCCGACCATCCTGTCCAGCCTGGAGGGCATCGTCGATCAGGTGGGCGCGAGCGGCTGCCGGCCGGCCGCGTGGCCGCCCCTGGCGCCCCCCACCGGCGCGTAGACTTGGCAGAGAGCGCCGCAGCCGGTCGCCAGGCCGGCGCGTATTGCCAGTGTATGTGTGTTTGCGTACGTACAAAATGTGCGCCGAAGAGCGTAACACGCACACGGGTGTGACGAAGTAATATGTGCTGCGTCTACGTAGACAATCGTTGATGTGACATGCTCATGTTGTTGAATTCGCTTAACGTGCTATGCATTCGATGCCCGTATAGTTATTTACAAAACGTACCCAACATGCATATGCATTTGCGTACAAGCAGATGCATATGCTTTCAAGGTTATATTAGTTTTTGATAGTGGCGCAATGTGTTCTTGGCAAAATTTGTAATCATGTGATGATTGAACTACGATGCGCCTAGTATATACAGTATGCAGTGCTTCCGAGGTGGGACGGCTGTCTCCATTGCTCCGATTCTGTATGAGCATGTGCGTTCCGTCACTGGAGGTGATCTGATTCGGGAACAGCTCCGGGCGGCGGGTGTTCGCTGTGCGGCTGGGCTGTTGCCGTGCCCGAAAGCCCAAACAACAGACAATTGATAGGAGCGAGTCTGTCTTGTCGTAATGACACGTCGGCCTCCCTCTCGCGACCCGCCTTTGCCTGACGGAGTGGGCGGGGAGTGTCGGCCTGCGGCGTCTGACCGCCCGTTCGGCTGCAGATGGTGTGTTCCGAGAGAACTGGTACGAGGAGGTGTGCTGCGCCAGCTGCGCCAGGCCCTCACCAAGTGCCTGGCGCTGGCGTTCGACAGCCGGGGGGCCGTCACCGAGGCCACCATCACGCCGCACACGCTCAACTTCGTCAAGAAGCTGGTGGCCACCTTCGGCATCGGCGTCGGTGAGACCCTCCGCTCTCCCGGCCGGTGCCCTCTCCCCTCCCCCCGCCCCCCACTCCCCCCGGTACCCCTCCCCCCCTCCACCCCTTCCCCGGCCGGTACAAACCTGCACCCTCCCCGGCCTACCCCCTCCACCCTGCTCTCCGGCCTACCCCCCCCCCCCCCTGCTCTCCCCTACCCCTTCCCCCCCGCTCCCCGGCCTGTACCCCTCCACAGGCGTCGGACAAGGGTCAACTTCGCATCTGCGGCTCGTCTTAGCCTTGACCGCTGGCCGGTGGCCATGATGGTCGGGATTCACCGACGAGCTGTACCAATTGGGTTTTTCTCTGTTATCTCGCCCTGACACTGTCTCGTCTGCCCCCCCCCCCCCCCCCACAGATCGCGGCGCTCCTACGACTTTCAAAGTTTACGTGCGGCGTAAATTGACGCATAATGATTATTTAAACCCACCGTAAACAGCACACACTGGATAGGATTGTGTTCGTAAGATGAGGTTATATCATGAAGTTCGATAAATGGAAGATAAGTTGTGATGAATTGGTGGAGCATTCGTCTTCATCCTGTGGCCCTGGGTCGATCTGTCACCAGCGTCTGAGTTGTTCATGCTGTCGTCGGTTGGCGAAAGTCGTCTTGCTCTCCGGTCCCAGGTGGGAAAGGCCGTGCCTTTGCTGATGCGGGAC